GGGGACTGCGTCATCTTTAGAAGCAGAATTCTTCCTAAATCTTAATTAATCTCATCAATGGACTTTAATTAAAAGATTAGCAGAGTCAAAGACAGCTCATCATCATGACTCTTGATGCACATTGTCCATGGAATAGGGCGACTTATTTTCTATTTTCCCCCAAAAGTAAAGCTCCAATCAGTATTTTTGTGATTGCAAGTCAATGATTTGGTTCGGTATTTTGGGAAGCAAATAGAGTTTTTTTGGCATCACGTGTTCTAGTTTGGAGGAAACTTTTCATATGTTTGATATTTTGAAATTGAAATATAGTTTGAGTTTCCTATCGTTACTTGTAAAATATTGTAAAATTATAAAAGGCTTTCTTATAGTCTAGACAATTCTTTCTAACCTTTTTTTTTTATAAATAATTTCTTCTTTTGTAGCTGAATGAGGACCAACATCAACTAGAATCAATATTGTTCTCTCTCTCTCTCTTCCCTATTTTTCCCTTTTTAGAAATGCAATGCACTCTTATAAATCTTATTCTTGAATTGCTTTCAGCATTGTTAGACGGTTTCCGGGGAAAGAACTTGTTAATTATGCTTCCCATCTAATCAATATTTAAGTTGAACTCCAAATCTTCAACCAAGATGACTTTCTGGTCGAGTGAAACTCACTCATCCTTTTTTAATGGAGTGAAAACTCTCCTTCAGATTCTGACAAAAGGGGCATTGATACTTGGTATTGAAACGCAGACTTCACAAGACTCGCCAAGAGCTTTAGTTATTACTGGAAACTTGTATCACAATCGTAAACGACTGAAATCATCCAATAACAAATTGCATTGCACCAACATTTCAATCCTAGTAGCGTGTATATGTATATATGACACACCATTTCTATCATTTCCATTTTCATGAAAAGCGTATCTATGTCTCGAGCTCACTCGGTAGGGATTGAAAGGAAACGGGTTGCTGTTCAAGTGATCGTGATTGATCAAAATATTTGCTTTTTTTTTTTTTTTTTCACTCTAGACGACAATTTATAGTTTTTCAGGGCCAAAAGAAATGTTCCTGTTTTGTTTTGGCTTTTTGTTTGTATATTTGTTTTCTCGTATTGATTTAGGTACACGACACAAGTTTGCTTTCACAAAGACATCCATCCATTTATTTGATAATGAAACGTATACACAAAAAAATTAAAAACATATAAAGGGTCCAAGCTTTTTCTCTATGTTAGCCAATAGCCGGAACCCTTGAAGCCAAAAAAAAGTGAAATAGATGAAGCAAAGAAAACGAGCATAATAAAATGATCAGTCATGTTATTTTATGGCCCTTTGCTAATTAGACTTGTGAACCCCATGCTGCCCAGTTGGCTTCACTCCCAACACGTGGCATGCTTTGGATCCTTGATTGGGCATCAACCTTGAAGTTGGCCCCACACATCATTCCCTCACTATCAATTCTAGGCATTGCCTTCATCTTCTTTGTTGGATGCTCAAAGCTCATCAACCCATGTTCACTGTGAAACATACACCCTGCAATCACATCCAGTACCATAAATAAGCCCAGATTCTCCTTTTCTTAGGAAATAAATATAACCCAAAATGGGCCCAAAAAAAAAGTGTTAATTTTGAATTTTACATACCATTAGGAAATGGAGCAAATGATTTAGCACAGCTTGCTTTTATGGCCTCCAAGTCTTGAGAAATCACCACTGACCCATCTGCTGCTATGCCCCAGTATAGGCTCACTCCTTCATCAGCACTCTGCTCAAACATAACATTCAAAAAAGAAAGAAAGAAAGAAAGAAAGAAAGTTAAGATCCACATTTTACATTTTTTTTGGAAAATACGCCTTCAATTTGACCCAGTTATAATCTATCAAATCATAATCATTTAATTTAATAATTAATACAAATAGAACAATTTAGCATAACCTAATAAAAAAATATAACGGTTTAGAATTGTGTCGCGCGCTTAAGAAATAAAAATATCCATTTTTGGTAGAGATATTTAACGTACCAGTGCAGAAAACACAGATCCAGCCTTGCTATCATAGACAACAAATGCAAAGCTTCCTTCAAGATCCTTAAGGACCTGGTGGGCCGGGTAGGGACACCTGTCACGTAGGGTCCTATAGGCCTCGATCACTAAAATTGCCTCATTTGTGGCCTTTGATAGCCCATATTGCCTTATCAGACTGCATAAGTTGTTTAGGCTTCCAAGAAAAATGCAGTATATCTCATCCACACCACAGAACAGCCTGCCATTATCAATTCATTGTGAAATTTTAGATACTAAAAACAAAACAAAATTTGGATTTGCATAAAACAAATTCCATGACCATAACATAGACTAGCACATACCTCTGATGTATTGAGTAGGACTTTTCTGGTGGAACATAAGAAAGAGATGCTGAATTTCCAAAGCCAATGGAGAAGACATTGTTGGGATAACAAGACAAGAAATCATTGAGAATGTCACGAGGAAGTTTAGGCTTCTTTGAAGAAGAACTCATGACAGGGCTGTTCAGCTCCTTCGGTGGATGAACCAAATCCTTGTTGAATATTGCTAACATTTTCCAGTTTAATTATCAACTCTTCACTCACAAACTTTGGATAATGATAATATATACTCTAAACCAAAATGAAATGAAAACAAAAGAGACTTGTTGATGCTGTAAACACAGATGAAAGAAGGTATACTGATGTTGAAGAATGGTTTATCCATGGGGTTTATATATACGTATATTCTAGAGAGAGAGAGAGAGAGAGATGTTAACGTGGCAACATTATCCAAATCTGTTGATTAGGCGTAGAAAAAGCGGAATCCAATTTAAGGAGTTAAAAGTCTCTTTTTAAGACGCAGATACTTCACCAAAAATAAGAATCATGAAGATGACTCTTATCCGACGGCTCACCTGAACCCACGCAAAATATTACTATACAACTCACCATTGCAAAAGTCCATGGACAGAGCCAATCAGCAAGTTGCACAATTTTCTTGGAACCCACTTTATGGATGACGTGGTAACTTGGTTGGTTGGCGTTTATTGGTTGACTTTGGTCTTGGGGTAGTGGGAAACAATCTCCGTGGTTTGCCATTATCTTCTTGGGAAATGAAAACGAAATCAAATAGTGGCAGGAGGGTGTGTGAATGACGGTGATCCTAGTCAGCCTATTCATAAATTGTCTCACTTTTTCTGACTTTTCAGTTTTTATTTATTTTTTTGTTTTTGTTGGTTACGGTACGGTTTTCTGACTGTGATGTAGGGTGGATAATGTAATCAGATAATTTACACGTGGAGAAACATCAGAATAAGGATAAAATCACTCAGCAACACCCACAGTTTATGTTATTTGGGCCCTGTGGATAATTAAGTATGAATTGACAGCAACCGAGTTGTATTTCATTTTTACATGGGAAATAGTATGAAATAGCCGATATAAAAATATATAGATTATTTTTTAGTTATAAAAATTAATAAATCATAATTTATCATTAGATAAGTTATAGATAAATTTGTTAAATTATGATTCATAATTAGATAAGTTATGGATAAACTTGTCAAGTTATGATTCATAATCAGATAAGTTATGGATAATAACTTGTCAAATTATGATTCATAACCAGACAAGTCATGAATGAAAACAGTAATTTAACCTATTTATTAACTTATATAAACTATTGACCTATTAATTTTAATTCATCTCAAGTCTCGACCTATTTCTCTCTTTCTCCCTTTTTATATTATGAATCCACTGGTATATTAAGCTATGGCAGGAATTTGAAAAATTATTGCATTAATTAATAGTAGCAAAATCTCTCTCTCTCCGGTGAAGACCAAAAATCTTAAAATGTCAATATATTTAGCAAAAATACTACATTAATTTGATCATTAGGTGGTTGTAATTAAGGAAAGCACTAGTTCCGTATTAACTTATAAAAAATATAACAATTATATAATAAGATCAAATGTCTCGCTCTTGCAATAGAGGATTCCATTCGTTTCCAATTCATTTTGAAACAGCTAGTTGCTCTAAAAATCGACCAAATTGCTCAGTTAACAGAGAAATAGTACATAAGAGAGTACTGCACTATTGATTCAACATAAAAAGATAGAAGAAAAAAAAAAGGGTCTATTTCCTGAAGAAAGGAATTACAGTATTACACAATCTAAAAGTTCTGTTACTCGTCCAAAAAAAAAAAAAAAAAAAAAATTCAGAACACCACAATAGAAAAGCATGTCAGAATATTGTGCACAATATTATTCTTATGCACTAAAGTCCCTGCTATAATATCTGTCTTCCGGATAAAAAACAGCGTGCACAATATTACCCCCAAATTTTCTTCCGTTGAGTACATTCCTTGCATTGGCACAACCTACAGCATCAGCGTATTCCAAGAACACCTGCAAGTGAAACCATGAGATGGCACGACAACACTGAAAAAGCCACACTTGGATTGCCCATAAAACTAGTGTTGGGCAATGGGCATACGTTCTGTTTCGGACGGAGCTCGACAGAGAAGAAAAAGCGAAACAACCATGTAAAGAAAAAGGATATTATGGTCAGAAAGTTTTACTAAGGAACTCGAAAACAATTCCTGAAAGAGAATGGAGCCAAATTCTCATTCTGTTCTGCTCATACACTATTTAAAGTATTGATATGAACGGGAAACTATAATGACCAGTGAAGAAACATCAAGCTTAAACCTCGAGGATGTATTTTCATATATAGTAACTGATGCATCAAAAAGTGTGTGTTTTCAGAGACAATGCGACATAAATAATTGACACATTAAGGGCATAAACACCTAAAAATTAATGTACAATTTAGTGGAATACCTTTCCAACACCAGAGATCGTTTCTCCATTCTGATCTGGACGAGGAATAATGACATTCACCACACTTCCTAAACAATTCAATAGAATAAGGAAACAACGTTAATATTATAAACCATAAAAAAATCTATTTGGAAGCCAATTTCTTTTGCATGAGAAGTTTAACATTATATCAAGAAAAGCAGGATGCATGCAGGTTATTTCAATGCAGACACAAGAGTTCCGGTCGCAGCCATGAGAATGAAAGCACTTTATTTTTGGAATGCAACATAGAGTTGCGCTATGGTTCAATATGTTTACTGAAATGCCCATTGAAATTTCTGCACTGGTACCAAGTCATTATTGAGCAACTGAATATTACTATTTTTTTTTGCTAATCAACAAACACTCAAATTTGTAATGGTAAAAACATGCTCTTCAGATAAAGCCATCAAAAGTGTTACCTACATGCTTCTGTTAAAAAACTAAATCCACAAACACTTTATTTACATGGAAAAACACGTGGAGAGAACTGTTTCTCTTGGTGGGTGGGTGGGTGTGTCTGTGTGGTTGGGGGTGGTTTAGCAAAAACATAAATCATTAAGCACAGATACCAAATTTTCCGCATTCCTCCCTCATATCTTCTACTATTTCTTCATATTCTTCATCATCCTTCAGTTGATCAGAACTAATTGCCTTCACGGAAAGCACCAAAAATCAGTAGTTAAAATCAGTAGTATTAACTAGGATATCAAGGGGAAAAAGACAGATGAAAATTAATATTGGAGACTGATATAATAAATAATATGAATTTAAAAAAGTTTGCAGACAGAAAGATGAATGATCTAGAATCGGTACAAGCAAAATGCATATCTGTAATTATAAAACTTCATGTTTTTACTTGCATTAAACCGTGAACACTAGATTGAAATCTGAAAGTACCTCAGTCAAACATAAAATTTTAGTTGGAATTCCCACATTTTCTACAAGTGTCATCCCAATTTCTGGAAGTTTTACACCACCAGCATGCAGGGCCATCTTCTGTAACACAGTGAAACTTTGTAAGTACATAATGCTGATGACAGGACCAAAAAATTACACCAGCAGGAGGACAAGATAGGTTTTACCTGAATGGCTATATGCTGTTGTGCCTGTGCCAATATATTTTCCTGTTCTGATTTGGACTGCCCAGCGCTGCTAAAGTATATTGAGACAAAGTTTCAAGCAATCATGGGGTCTCAAGATATCCAAAAAGCAAAAACGAATGCAAATAGGAAGTTGAAACAGTTGAAGAAAAACAATATGAACAATTTCTAACATCAACAAAATTGTTGATTTGCCTTTCTGTCACGGATCAAAAACACAAACCTCAAAGTAGCACGCCGAACAGTGAGCGTTTTATCCCCCATTTTCAATCCATTAAGAGCTCCACAGGCAATGTCTGTCACTGCTGGATCCTGATACATCAAATGACCAGAATTCAGAAGTACACCCCATAGGATTACAAAGCGGCATACATGCATTGAAGAGAAGAAAATGGCCACGTAATCAACCATATAATCATTCAGTCGCATAATTGAACAATAGTTGTAACGTGAGAGCGCTCTGAGTCAAGATCTAATGTTTCTAAGTTTTGATTATTCACCTGATAGACACAAAAACCATATCCTTTAGAGTTTCCAGTGTCTTTATCCTTAACAAGATCGAAGCCACGAAGAGGTCTGCATAGATCAAGTGTACAGTTAGAAGAGGTACCAATTATTGAATACATGCAAGCATTAGATCAATGAGTGCAGGTTTCTTCTATTCTTAAAAGTAAAATCACACGAAAAATAAGAGTAGGGAAGGAGGCAGAAAGATAGCTGGTAACGGAAACCATTACCCAAACGACTCGAGCAATTCTCTTATCTGTGGCTCAGTGAAATAATATGGGAGTCCACCAACAAAGATACGTTCAGGTCCCTCGGCTCCAGTGATTGCACTGTCAACCAAATATCAGGAATTAGCACACGAAAAGACTGTTTCAACTTAAGTGTGTACACATCAATCTCTTTAGAAAATAAAATGACAACTAACCCTGGTGTGAGCCCAGCAGCAGCTAAGTTAAGGTGAGGACTTGGTTGACTAGGACCAAGTGTCGCAGCTAAAGCAGGATTATAGTCTGTTGGCCTTCGTACCCTTACAGCAACCCCCTGTTAATACTAAAACAATCGTGCTAAATATATAAAGATTCCAATAGTTTATTCAGGTATAACTGCAACTAAAATTTCTCGTTTTCATAAATCATAGCAACCAATGAGAAAACATAGCACAGAAGTCCCAAATTTTTTAAAAAAAAAAAAATAGAAAATGCAAGTTATCTGAAATGTGAAAACATGTGAAAAGTTGGCTAAAAAATGATCCAGTGACTTGACAATCCGTCCACTAACAAAAAACTCTAGCATATAAATGTATTTCAACACTCCAGAACCTAAAGACTTCATTGCATGCTCTAGATTATGAGCACCAGGCGAGGACCAAACTTCGAGCGAGCCAAAGCCCAGAGGATTTATCAGGCAGGATTAGCAGCCATAGACTCTGACAATAAGTATTTTGTCATCTTTGATACAACATCCACTTCATATTTTTGCAATTCGGAAAAAGAAGAGAAACCGAGGTAATGATAGGTTAATAGGATAAAACACCAGTAAACCCCTGGCTACAACACTTGAAGTAAAAAAGCTATTGGCAGAAACAAATAAATCCAAAACTAGGATGCATAATAAAGTGGCACCCATACTTGATTCATGTAGCCTTCAGGAAAACATGACAGGTAACTCATGGTAAATGAGTTTCCTTGATAGTTTACAACTGTCAACCTCCCCCTAGGAGAATCAACACACACACAACAAAGAGCTGCTAATGAGTATCAAATTGCTTGCCTCAAATATGATCCCATCTAATGCCATTGCATTACTTGCTTCTTCAACAGTCCTCATCTCCACAAATGCAAACTTCTTCTCGTGATTGATGTAGACATTAACAACTGCATCGCCTGCAAGTTTCAAATTCCAGAATACACAATATTTTCAGAAAAATGTAAGTACACTACAGCTTTACGTGCAAAAGGGAGTATAAAAGAATGCGTGTTTCACATCTCAAAGTGGGATTGTCATTACCTGAACCAGAAGAATTTCCTCCAATTGCAGTCATAACACCACTGAAGAATGTAGCAATTGTCTGTACCAGAAATAGGACAATCCTTCAAAGAGTTCAACGAATGCAAGACATATTTTTCCTAATAGTGTGTTTGGTAGGGTGGAAAAGAGAGATGAAAGAAAATAGAGGAATGATTTTGTAGAGGAAAATGAAATTTTAGGTTGCTCGGTAGAGAGGAAATGAGGAATGAAGGAAAATGAAAATCAATGGGCCCACCAATTTTAATCCTTCCAACTTTGGAAAGAAAAGAGGGGGGAAAAAGTTTGACAAAAAAATGATATGTAAAATAACAATTTTAACCTTCACCATTCATCATATTTTTATTTGTATTGGGGTATTATTGTAAAATGCCTTAAATTTGACATTTTCTTTTCACTTTTCCTTCTCTTCTACCAAACAACATGAGAGAAAATCATTTTACTTCCTTCACCTAGGTATTTTATTTCTCTTTCCTTCCTCTTTTCCATCCATCTTACCAAACATAACATAAATGCAAGGAAAAACATCCTAATTCCCAAATTATCAAAAATTTGCAGTTTTAGATTATATATTTCAGTCTATAATGGAGCAGCATATAGAAGCATATAAAGCCATTTTATAGATCAGGAACACACTACATCATGGAGCCATAAACCCTAAACTCTAGACAATTGGCATAAGAAATTGGCCTTTACCCAACTGGAAGTACAATTATACATTATAAAGGGAAAAAAAAAGTTTAGGAATTAAAATTCTAATAAAGGAAAACTCTCATTCTTTTTCTTGAAGGAAATATAATCAGGGAAGGAAAAAGTCCAAGAAAAACCTGCTCGTTAGCCGTAGGAGGAAGCCCACCGACATATACTCGTCGAGCATGCCTTGTAGCCTAAACAAGTAAAAGACAGAATTAGAAAGTGATGACGAGCAAGATATAAATAATTAGGAGTCTAAAATGTTCTATTATCATTAAGAATTTAAGAGGTTTTGTTAGGATCTATTTGTTCATTTGATAATTATCTCGTGTTTATGCTATTATTAGGATTTATTAAATTAAGCTATTAATAGAGCTAATGATTGTATTTTCACTTTGGACCTTGAAGAACACTATTAATATTAATTATTTGATAACGCGGATTTCCTCTCAATTGTTCTCTCTTCTTTCTAGATTCCTCTTCTATTTCTCCTCTCTTTACCCTTCCTTTCCCTTCCTTTCCCTTGCTCTCTCTTTCTCTCTTCTATATTGGTCCTACATTAAAAAGTATATTGATGATCATCCCATTTATCAATTTATAGGATATATGCTATTCATATATCTACCTGCTGAGTCATGGCTTGGGCTGGCATCAGGGGAAGAGAAAACTGTAACATGTAAAAGGCCTATGGCATCACCACAAAAGAATACAAACAAAAAATAAGAGCATAATACTCGTAATGCCAATGGAAGATACAGACTTGTGCAGTTCCGAAAGGCAATATGTTTTGCACCACGCCAGGTGTTGTTTGAGGAATGCTCAGCAACTGCCCTATATTATCAACAGAAAGGGATAGAAAAAAAAAAAAAAAAAAAAAGAGAGAAGTCAAGATGATCGCTTACATCACTTACAAAATAAAACATGGTATAATTGCTGTAAGAAGTAATGCATCATGTAGCCTAAGCTAGTCTATTTTATTTTGTATAAAAAATGAAAAGGGAGACTCTATTTCATACCTATAAATACCATTAAATAATAAAGTAAAAAATGAGTTCCATCACTGCAGAAATGCAGATGCTAGAGAAATATTAGTAAGTCTACCAAATGGTAATTGTAGTCGGTTGAGGGCGAACAAGATCCAGCTAATCGATCCATCCTTCGATGAACATAAAGGCTACGTGGTCACGCCAACCCAACATTGCCTTCTTAACCAAACCATCAACATAAACACAAACAAACAACCACACACAACAACCAAACAACACAACAAGGGCTCTCAGTTTCCATAGTAAAACCATTAGAAAAATACGTTTCAAGCAGAAACACTAAAAGTAACAGGAGACTCCACAACAATTACAGCAAAATATACTACCAATTACTTGATGATAGAAACCTGGAGCAATCAAAGGATTGATCGGAAAATAACTTAAACACGCAAGATCCAAACCTTGAACAGCGGCACCAGGGAGCACGGTGGCAGCAGGTGGTGCCATGTCAAAGCCACTTGTCCGCTTGCTGAAAAATAAGCAAATTGAAGATATGATCATTACAAGTTATGAAACTTTCAAGAGATAAGTCAACACAATCCGGAACCAGCACTTCTCTTTTTCCACATTGTAGTCTTTCTTAACATGCAAAAAATGTCATTCAAAAAAAAAAAAAAAAAAAGAGCTTAGAATGAGAACAGGAATATATTTTTATAAGAACATGGTTGGTTTAAAAAATAGTATTGTGTATTTGGGACATGGGAAAATTGGGGCGACAAAAAAAAAAAAAAAATAACGCAAAAAAAATTGAGTAAAGTTGAAACTCCAATATCACCTTTTAGCGCGAGACCGGGAAGAAGAGGGCGATCTTGATCTTGATTTTGATATTTCCCTTGAGTGGGAACGCATTCCATGCCTATGCCTTCTTTCCCTATCACGACCATAATCACGTTGCCTATAAAAAGAACCCCATAATACATTACAACCAAATCAATATTTACATTGTAAGTTCAAATAAAGAAAGAGATCATTGAAAATGAAATACCCATACTGAGCTATAGTCAAATAATTGAGAATAAAGAATGAAAATGGTAAATAAAAACCTGTCGTAATCTCGTCTTTGATGACGATCATAACCATTATTACTACTATTGCCTCTTCCTCTTTCAACTCTAGAACTTCTCTCCTTGTAGTCCCTCGTCGTTAACCTCTCGTGACTTGATCCATGAGAATTACGCTGATACAGTTCATCACAACACCACTCAGTCTTGAGCCACAAACACAGTCGAATTGCCCAAAGTTAATTTTGTTCATCGCACAAAAGAAGCATCTAAATAACCCAAAATTGAGTTCAAAATCGATTTCGGATTTCCCAATTGTTCATTGCCATTTTACATGACAGGAAAATCGAAAACAGGGAGAAACCAATTGTTCATTGCCATTTTACGTGACTGGAAAATCGAAAACGGAGAGAGAGAGAGAGAGAGAGGTGAGAGCATAACAATTCAATATACATATATATATATATATATATATTAATTAGGTCAAAAGATGAATATAATTTTGTGCAGAGTTTTGCTTACTTTGCTCCGAAGAGAGGAGTAATCGTCTCCACTGCCATCGTAATCGGACATTGTAGCTCAAAATTGAAACCCTAGAACCAGAGATTTTGGAAGCCGAAAGGCAAAACCTCAGAAAACAAACTGCAATCAGTCGCCTATGCGTACGCTCTGCGCCACTTCCTCTGGGCTCAGTTCTTGACTTTGTCGGTCGAGATTCGTGTCTTGTAAAAGAAGAAGAGAGACGTGGACCTCTTTCCGTCACCACCCAAAATTTAAGCCCATTTTGAGAATATGGCCCAACATACAAGCCCATTAAATTTAGATGGCCCAAAACGGGTGGTGGCTAGGCCCTCTATTTCTTTCAGTTTTTCGAGGAAAAGGCGAGAGATTGTTAGGAAATTTATAGACTTTAAAGCAACGTTTTCTTTTTCTATTAACTATTTAGGTAAGAGACTTGAACTCCACACCTCAAGATAAAATCAAGTGTAAAAATTACTGCTAATTATATTTGTAACTACGAAATTTAGGACAATTTTACCTTGGAAAAATTATGTTGTTGTTTAAATATTAGAAAGATTTTGCCATCACTTTTTAAATTATGTTTGTTGTTTATGTTAATTTCATAGGGCTAGAACTAAAAAAGATACAAACTTAAAAGGTGGATTAAGGAGCACATATTCCTATTGAGAGCTTTTAACTGCAGTAAAATTAAAATTAAAAATTTAAATCGGTGAAATGAATGATGGTCAGTTCTATATCTTTCATCATTATTGAGATAGACTCAATTTTAAATTGTTCAACTCGTGATAATAAAATAAAATTTAGTGGTGAGTTATATATCTCTTTTTTTTTTTCCAAGTTAAAAGGAAACAAACCTGATAGCTGCACATAGATCACGTCGTGCTAGATGCCATGCACGTGTACACAAACTTTGCTATAAAAAAAAAGTGATTTTACGTCATTTGTTTATTTGGTGATTATAACAATGCCACAACGTTTTCCATGTTAAAAGAAAAATATTCAATATTCAATAACTAATATAAATAATGCATGAGAGATGATATATTTTTATAAACTGCAACTCAATAATTAAGCAAGAAAAAATATGTACCACTAATGTTTCTATTACTTTAATTTGCTGACTTGCAGCCTCAAAAAAGAAAAAGCAACAACTGTATTATTGAGCCAAAATCTCAATCCCAAGCGTTTAAAAAAAATACATAAAACATTATCTTAATGTACAAGCAAAACAAAAATCAATGATTCAAATCATTTTTGTTACAAGATATGCACAACCTTTCAAAGAAAGCAGCAAAATTACTTGGCGAATTATAAGTTAAGCAGTACGAGATGTCATGATCATGTTCATCTATGGTTACCAAACAACGTTTAAAAAAAATGAATTATATAAAAAGATTAAAAATGGATAAGAAAATTAAAAATAGAAAACACGTGTCCTTTTGCATGTTGGACGGGTGATGATAATTGATAGGATACTATTGATAAATACTTTTTAAAAATATATTAATCAAGATTTTTATCTTTTATTTTTAATTCAAAATTTTTTTAATTAAATAATTACACTAATAAAAAGATATTTATTATGAAAAATAAAAATTTAAACTTATACATTCATACAAATAAATTCTTTATTTTTTCTAACTGTGTCTGTGATATGTATGGTTAGTAGCACCGCCCAATTGGGCCATTTGATTTTGTAAATTGTATTTATATTAATTATTTTCTTTTTTATTTTTAATGTTATTTATTTTACAATATGCTAAAAAAAATCTATTTGTATTGCTCTGTGTATCGCATTTTTGTTGTCGTATATCGTGCCACGTAATGGAACAGGGTGAGTATAGTAAAAGTACGGATGGGAAGGACTGACGTAGTTGAGTTGAGCAGCATGAAACGTGTGCGGTGACGCACGGACGATGGGGATATGTACGATTTTTGTCGCGTGGCTGTTTGGCATTTGCTTTGGCTCAGCCAGTGTAAGGGTGGGTGTGGTACACCAAGAGGGTGTTCGGCTGGGGTATTTTTGAGTGAAAAACTCAAAAAAAGTAACTCGAGTTATAATTTTATTTGAGTTTATGTTCTTTTAAGTTTGAACTCGAGTTTAAATTCGAGTTTGAACTCGAGTTTGGGACTAGAACTCGAGTTTGGGATTAAAACTCAAGTTTAAGGCCTCGTTCATTTCACCGATTCGAGTTTTCAGTTTTAAGTTTTTACAGTAAAAAGCTCTCAGAAAATGTCACATCTAACTTTTTCTGCTACAGTGAAAAGCTCTCAGAAAATGTCACATCTCAGCTCGAATTGAAAACTCAAATCTGCGAAGTAAACGAGGCAAAGTTTCCCCTTCAACTCGAGTTCAGAAACTCGAACTCAAATTAATAAACAATATTTTTTCTATTCTTAAAAATGCTATAACTTTTTCGTTTTAATTCTGATTGAGATGATTTTTTTTCTATGCGTTGACAACGAAAAGACGAATAAAACCCGACCCATATACCCTATTAAAATTTTTCATCAGCATTGAGTTTTTATTAAAATACTATCTAAATACAAATTCAAGTTTTGACTCACTCAAACACAAACTCAAAAAGATTGTTATCTCAAACCATAACTCAAATGTACACAACCAAACACAAACGCAAATTACAATTTCAACTCAAATTATAACTCAAACTCAACTCAAAATCTACACACAAATTACCTAACTCAAAAACATCAAAAGAACAAACCCCAAGGCTTCGTTTACTTTTCAAATTCGATTTTCAATTCGAGTTAAATATAATATTTTTTGAGAATTTTTTACTTTAAAAATTTAAAATTAAAAACTCGAATCAGTGAAATGAACGAGACACAAGAGAACACAAATCTGGGCTGTCAATTGTCAGGCCCACGGGCTCCACCAACTTGGCTATCACTTTTTTTTTCCTCGAGAGAGAATTACCTAGGTCTCGTTTATTTCACCGATTCAAATTTTCAGTTTTAAGTTTTTACAGTAAAAAAACTCTACAAAAATGTCACATTTAACTTTTTCTGTTACAGTAAAAATCTCTTAGAAAATGTCACATCTCAACTTGAATTAAAAACTCAAATCCGCGAAGTGAACGAGGCATTAACTTTCTCATGTTAATTTTTACTATTATTCTTAATTAATACTCTTTTAATTAATATAATTATTTAATTAAAAAATATTAATCAAAAGTAAGAAATAAAAATTTAAATTCATGCACTATAACTAGTTATTTCTCTCCTTTCCACCACTTTTTTAGTGATTTGTGTTTATAACGAGCACTTCTATTCATCCTGATGGAATTACAACTCTGCTACTTATAAAAAACGGTTCCGTTAAGTTGGTAGGTGCCCCCGTGCATGTCTAATAATATCAAAATTAAATTTTTTTTAGACAAAGTTAAAATTTTATGTCTATTGAAATATCATATTATATTAATTAAATAATTTAATTGACATGTCATAATATTATAGGGACACAAGAAAAAAAGTGCTAGCCAAATTCATCTTTTTCTATCATATATAAATGCAAGATCATCTTTAGTGTAAATGTCATTTTTTTTTATGATTATTAAGCGTTGAATCTTATAAAAGTAAATTTTTCACATTAAAATTTTTAGAAGAACTATATATCAACAATAACAATTAGATGTAAAATTTGACAATTATTATACTTTGTTGTAAATATGTCATAAAAGTATTTGTCAAATTTAGTATATAAAATAACATTATATTAGAGAGTAATTTTTCATTCTAATGTCAAAATGTAAATTTGACAAATAAATTCGACATTGTATTAGAGATGTTTTAATCGGTGGTAATTCCAATATACACGTAAACTTGTGCTTTTTTTTCATTCAGTAATATGAAAAATAATTTGCAATTCTCATAACTCGTATAGTATGTATATTTGTGTTTGGTTAATATTTGTATTATTTTTCAAAGCAATGCTAATGTAAACCCCACAATTAATTATTAGTTTATCTCGTATCTCGCAAATTCTTTGATCAGGTATCCAAGAAGAAGTTGGTTATTTTATATATATATTGAAATTGATTGCATTATAATTTTAAACCAAGAGAAAGATAACCCTATATACTGAAAGCCAATTGAATTGTCTGATATGGAAACTATTAAATTAAGAACAAATTATTTGTTACTTATTACACTTAATAATATATGTTTTAGAACTCAATATAACTATTTTTGTTTTTTTGTTTTTACCAATAATGTAAGGAAAGTGAAAAACAAACCATTTTTTATGAAGTAAAATAATCCTCTCCATATTTAGAGTAAAATTTGTATTGGATCCTTAGCACCCAACTGGGTAACCACGCAAATATTAGTCCTGCCTACATATGAACTTATGTATTATATTATTTTATAATTGTGTGGGAAGAAAAAGGAATCTACGAACAAAGAAAGAATGAAAGATGATAGGAGTTTAGGACTTTGGGTGGTCAGGCAGAATAAGTGGACATTGATTGTTGATAAAAGATAATAACCGGAAGATTTTCTCAACGGTGGCGGCGGCTATTGGTTCACAATATTCGTCAAAAATAAACCACAGAATTTTAGTCCTATGATTTCTAAGTCGTTGTCAAGATTTCTTTTTTAAAATAAAATTTCATTTATATTAAATAGTAATACAATGTGAATGACTTTACAGTACAAGACATAACTTTTAATTAATATCGATTTACTCAGTACAACCTATTAATATTCGAGGTAAAATGTAAGTCCAAAAATAAGAAGTATTTAGGCACATCAAGAATGAGCTCTCATAAAGCTTTTTTTTAACTAAAAATCGATAGAAACTTTCGATCGAAAAGATAAAAACCACTATATAGACTCCATATTAAGAATAAAGTCAAAAAATTAGGAAGACTACGTCTATTATTACAACGGAAAGACAGTAGAACAACGAACACACTAAATCTATACGGTGAAAATATCACTGTTTTTATTTAATAAATACAAAACTTAAGACAAAAGGGCAAAACACAAATGACAACGACGAAAACTCTAATGACCAGCTGACCACCATTAAAAATGGGTGAGAAAGACGCAACACTACTTGCTGACAAAGCAAAAGAGATCCAGAAGAGAGTAGGCTTCTGACGGGTGAGAACCACCAACTGCCACCCACCTCTTATGACGG